AGAATCCCTTGCCTACGAAAACCCTATGAAATTAATGGAGTCCCCAAAAGTCATCAGGCAGCTTGAAGGCACATACATACACACCCACTTGAGTTATCTAGCCACTATTCCACCCTGTAGAAATAATGCAGTTTGATAACATTTTAACTGTCGTGGCTCCTTACTGTGGAATCCTGGGATTTGTAGCTTGGCAAGGTATTCAGCCTGGTCTGTCAGAGAGCTCTGATCACTCACCAAACTACAAATCCAAGAATTTTGTAGATAGAGTCATGGCAAACTGCTTTGTTTCTGCAAACCATAATCATTCAGCAATTAATTCAACAGGACTATATTAGGTGGGTCTAGCAACTGGATACCGGTAAATGCCAGTAGGTTGGTTTTCTGTCTACACAATCCCTCTGTATCCATGGATTCAACTATCCACGGCTTGAAAATATTAAAAATATATACAAATTCCCAAAAGCAAACCTTGATTTTACCATTTTATGCAAGGGATGTCATTTTACTGTGCCATTACATTTAATAGATTTGAGCATCCAAGGATTTTGGTATCCATGGGGGGACCTGAAAACAAATCCCCAGTAGATACCAAGGGCCCACTGTACAACCTTTGTCAAGTCTCCAAAATCAGCCATATTGGCTGGGGGATTTGGGCATTTGCAGTCCAAAAAACTACAATGATTAGGGATGTCTCTCCTCGAACTTTGGTCAGGGTGATCATACACAGAACAGTATTATAACAATCAACTCAGCCAACATCATCTTCTAAACATCTGAGAAAACATCTTCAGGTTTTTGCACTCTAAAACCTTAGCTTGGAAATTCCAGAAGGCAAGATCTTTATCACACTTGTTTAAAAACGAAGCCGTTGCTTAAGACCATTTACCCGAATGAGGTTTTCCCCAAAGACTTGCAATTTATGTAATCCCCTTTTCTCCTTCCAGGTGCAATTTTCAAGGCCATCTTTACTAAGTTGATGGGTAACTTGAAATGTGAGGGTGCAAGGTTCTCAAATTCCACATGGTTCCTTTACAATCCAGGGACCAAAGTTCAAGGAGGGGCACTTGGTACATAGTACTGACACTGTAGTTTGTATTTCGGAGCTCAGGTCGTAAAACTAGAATAGATGGAGAGAGGAAGACAGGCGTTCAGGAAAGGAGAACCGCTGCTGCTCTGTATGGGTATTGACATGGGAGCCATCTCAAAAATTGCATCAGAAGCAAAACAACAACAAAAACACCACAGATATGCAGAATTGTATCATAAATAACATGGGAAAGCCTCCTTTCAAACCTGTGCTCTTAAGGAACAGCTTCCCTTGTGTGTGTGTGTGTGTGTGTGTGTGTGTGTATGAAAATGGCCTTGCACACCCTCCAACATTTCACAGATGAAAACCAAGTGTGGCCAAGCAACATCAAAGTAGGGTCAAGATGGCAAAAGTTGTTTATGAAGGAGAATGCAAGAGTTAGGAGATGCTGCAGCAGTTTGCTTTTGTCAGAGGCAAATGGGAAGGTCATGATTCCACCCTTTCTCTTCTCTCTCCATAATCTCCACTGAGTTATTTGAGTGCGAGCTACTTTTGCACTTGGAACTCAGTTTGCAGCATTTGAAATAAGCTGAGGATAAAGAGGGGAAAGTGGGAGGAAGCGAGAGAAACTGGGACGTTTGAAACAGCAGCTGAAAAAGTGGGAGGACAGAGGATCAATTAGGACTGTCCCTCTCAAACTGGGACAGCTGGAAGGTAAGTCTTTATCTTGAATTGTGAGGCCTGGATCCAACTGTTTGGTCCCAACTTAGAGTAAACACATTGAATCAATGGTACTTATTTAGGTGTTGGCTTACTAATTGCAGACTGCCAGAAATAGTGCAAATTGAGTCCACTTTAAGAGTTAGTGTTAGTGCTAGGGAATCATAGGAATTGTGTTTTTTTTCTTAGACATTGAGCCTTCTCTGTCAGAGAGCTCTAGTGACACAATAAAATACAGTTCCCATGATTCCCTAGCACTGAGCCAGGGCAGTTCAAGTGGACTCAATTTGCACTATTTCTAGCAGTCTGCAAAGGCCCTAAGTTCTTACTGATTCAATGGGTCTAGTCTAGTTGGGTCTAAACAACTGGATTTAGGCCTAAAGTAATATGTAACAGTGCATTTGTAAGGATGTTCATTCAGCCATAAAAAATAAAATCACTTAATACAACTTGGTTTACAACTGAGTGAGAATTAAGTAGCCCTACAGATATTGTTGGACTGAACTTCCTAGCATTCTTCACCATTGGTGATGCTGACTAGGGCTCATGGGAGCTGCAATATATCAACATCCAGCAGGCTGCCTTTTTGCTTCTAGTTATCTCCACTTGTGTGCAACAGGACCCCAAAGGGCTGGCAATGGAGCAGGTAGACTGAGGTGCTGGGAGGTGGCAGAAACATTAATAATAATAATAATAATAATAATAATAATAATAATAATAATAATAATAATAATAATAAACATGTTTAAGGGACAGATATGTGGGCTGATGCAAGACATCTTCCTGCCTGAGCCTCTTTTGGGAAGCAAACTGGATTGTCCGATGAATTTCACACCAGCAATGTAAATGGTAGGATCCAGCATGGCGTTGTGGTTTGAGCATTGGACTATGACCCTGGAGACCAGGGTTTGAATCTCTGCTCGGCCATGGAAACCCACTGGGTGACCTTAGGCAAGTCACATTCTCTCGGCTTTAGAGAGAGGCACTGGCAAAACCCCTTCTGAACAAATCTTGCCAAGAAAACCCTGTGATAGGCTTGCCTTAGAGTCGCCATAACTTGGAAACCATTTGAAGGAATACAACAACCAAATGTAAATGATACCGAGTCCTCCTTTCCTTTTGAGGATAGTTTCAGAAGTACAGGACAGGCTGCATGATAAAAATACAGCTCTGTTCTTTGAATGGAGGGAATGGCCAGAGCACTCAGGAACACCACAGCATATGCCACCTGAGGCAGTTGCTTCACTTTGACTCATGGAAGAGTCATCATCTCTTGCTTAACTGCTGCCTTCACATGCTATGGAGCATCAGGTAAAACTGGGATTCCCAATTGCTTTTGCACAAGGAAAGGACTTTGTTGTTCTTTGCATCAGGAATGTCTTGAGTTGGCTGAGCTTGGAACACTTAAGTATTTTTATGGACCATAGGATCTCCAGAATTCCCTTTGAGTTTGGATGCGGCAATCAAAAAGGAAAAAGCAACTTTCCTAAGCTTTGCCTTAACTATTCAACTCTTGAAACCATTCCACTTCTTTCTATGGACCTTGTCACACGAGGGAAATCCTGTGCAGAAACGGGATTTAAAAGGTGGGGAAATCCCGCAAAAGCAGGTAGATTTTCGCACACATCGCTGTTAAAGTGTGCTTAACTTGAACGGAGTCAAAAGCGGCTCCTTTTTACTTTCGGGATTTTTCAGAATTAAAAAGAAGTGGCTTTTGACTACTTTCTGTTTGGGTTAAGCACATTTTAAGAGCGACATTGTTTGAAAATCTATTTTTTTCTATTTAAAACCCTGTTTCTGCACAGAATTTCCCCCGTGTGATAAAGTCCTATAACCTGCTGCTCTAGAGATACCTGCGCCTATGCACATGGCTATTTGGAAACAAATGGCACCAATGTTAATGGCCTTAATTCCCAAGTAAATATGCTAGAAGTAGAAATGGGGCCGTTGACCTCAGGATCTATTGGATTACGTCTTCCCACAACCATAACATTTATTAAGTTGTACTGCCAATAATATGCAGATAACAACACCGGCCCACCTCAGACCAGGAGTTGCAGCAAGGA